TGCTCGGGGACGAGCACTTTTTCCAACGCTTGACGCGCCGCCTGAGAAAGTGGATGTGAACTACATCCATTCCGCTCGGTAACGAGACATGGTTCGTGTCCATACTATGGTTCATGTCCGAACTATTCAGATGAGAAGGATCATTATAGTCTAACAAAAGCCGATAATTTCATTGTTCTGGATTTCTCTCTGGTGGATAAACCCAGAACAATGAAATTATCGGCTTTTTGTCAGACTATTCTGCTATAATATCCATCTCATCTGAATAGTTCGGACATGAACCATAGTACGGACACGAACCATGTCTCGTTACCGAGCGGAATGGATGCCACTTTTTCCAACGCTTGACGCGCCGCCTGAGAAAGTGGATGTGAACTATACTGGATGGCCTGGGATGGCCGCTCTCAGGTTTCTCTCTGGTACCTACCATTAGCCATGGTGGAAGCAGAGAGAAACCTGAGAGCGGCCATCTCGCCTCACAGGCACACTGTCCTGATGCGCCCCCTGAGAAAGTGGATGTCAACTAACGTCCGTTACGATCGGTAACGGTACGTGGTTCGTGTCTGTGCTATGGTTCATGTCCAAGCTACTCATCAGATGAGATCTTTGACTATATAATCATGGACTGCTAGTTACCCCCACTTTTCCTATCCTTACAATGCTTTGCTGTCTAATGGACATGAAACGCGTCCCCAGGTCCTAAACGGCGGAAAATGGAAACATCAAGTGAGATTCCGATGGTAAATGGTGAGAAAAGAAGGTGTCATATTACTATTCTACGATTTTTAGCAAATTATCAATCTGCTAAAAGTCGTAAAATAGTGGTGTGTGTGTTCTGGCAGTCTTGCTATTATACATTCTTACATTATAAGAAAAGAACGAATTAAATTTAAAAAGAATGAAATAAATACAGAATGTTAAATATGAAATATTTTATTATTTATTCAAACTAAAATATATGTTTATGTAATATGTATACAGGGTATCAGACTCGTTTGTAGCCAATCTAAAAATTACGGTAGATTGGGTTAAACTGAAAAGAAGAGTCATGTACCGTTGTGCAAAATTAGCAATAGTTATCGCGTAATTGATAAAAACGTCTAGTCGAATGAACGCACAAGCGAAAGGCCGGACCCGGCAGGCATTGAGTGACGAGCGACGTGACTCAACCTCTCGCTACTGTGTCCTAGGAGATATAAACAAATAAAGCATTTTGCATCCTGCCGGGTCCGGCCTTTCGCTCCTTGTGCGTTCATTCGACTAGACGTTTTTATCAATTACGCGATAACTATTGCTAATTTTGTACAACGATACATGACTCTTCTTCTCAGTTTAACCCAATCTACCGCAATTTTTAGGTTGGCTATAAACGAGTCTGACACCCTGTAAATTACATATACATACATATATTTTAGTTTGAATAAATAATAAAATATTTCATATTTAACATTCTGTATTTATTTCATTCTTTTTAAATTTAATTCGTTCTTTTCTTATAATGTAAAAATGTATAATAGCAAGACTGCCTGAACACACACACCACTATTTTACGACTTTTAGCAGATTGATAATTTGCTAAAAATCGTAGAATATAAGTGATATGACACCTTCTTTTCTCACCATTTACCATCGGAATCTCACTTGATGTTTCCATTTTCCGCCGTTTAGGACCTGGGGGCGCGTTTCATGTCCATTAAATCGAAAAAAGCCAACTAGCAGTCCATGATTATATAGTCAAAGGATGAGATCGATAAATATATATATGTCAGTAGACGAGTTAGATGAGTCAGACAAGAACTGACAATCAATCGCTCTGACTTTGTCTCGCCAACGAGCAAACTATGCGGCGACAGGCACGAGGCGAGCTAGCGATTGTATATCGCAGAGCTCGTGTCCCCTTCCACTCCCTCCCCGTCGGCCTCATCTCGCTTTTCACACTCATTTTTACGTATACGGAAAGAACAGGATTTCAAGACGTTGCACAATTTCAGGCGTCCAATGTATCAACACATAAAAAATTAAAAGCATACAATAAGAGACTATAAATATAAAAAATATGTAAGAGTATAAAGATATATTTAAGAATATATAAAATATATTTTTATTACACGTGGGTAAGAAAAATTAATTTTAATATATTTTCCAATAATTGAAAAATTTTACATCGATTATTAATTGAATTTGTATAAGTTGTAAATTTTATAATACATTATATAAAACCAATAATTATTTCGAAAAAGAACTACAATTAAAATAAGAGAATGCATTTAAAATAACATGTTAAATTATGTTTTAAATTAAATATTTTTAAGACAGACGAACTTGTTTCATTCGTAAAAAATGTTCAAAAAATCTGTAAATGAAGAGAAAAATATTTTTAATTTTTGTGAAAAATATAATTAAAGTTATTTTTTAAATGTGTTTATACAAATTATTTGTATTTCTAAAATTATTTTTAAGTTTTAAAGTTAGTTTTAAGTTATTTTCATAAGAATAAAAAATTTTAAATACACATATGTTAGTAGATACTAGATACTAATTTGCAAGTTTAGTGTATCGTTAAATTTTAATTAACCTTTCTGAATAAATTATTATTGTCATAAATTGTACTTGTAATTTTTGAGTTCTATTCGTAATAAATCCATAACTATTGCTTTATTGGAAAACGTATTGAAATCAACTTTAATATTATCCTCGTTTTATTGTTCTTTTTTATTTTTGAAATTATTAATTAGAAAATGCGTACATGTAAAATTTAGGAATAATGATTTACTTTGATATATTTGTGTATAATGTTCAAATATGCCGTATTTACATATTTATATACAATACATATACATATATGGGGTGTCCCATTTTAAATATCAGTGATTTTTCAACGACCGTATCTGGCAATTCTAATAATACAGAAAATGTATTGCCTCGGTGGTCGAATTGGTTGAGACGCCCGCCTAGTATGTAGGGAAGTCCAGGTGCAAACCCTGGCTGAGGTAATATTTTCGCAATAAATTTTCTGTATTATTAGAATTGCCACATACGGTCGTTGAAAAATCACTGATGTTTTTAATTACTGCTGGCGACTTTTAAGAATATTCTCACTAGTTGTCCCAGTTTAACTTGGACAGTAAAATATCTTAAAAACTAAGTCCAGCAAACAAAAATGTTTCAGACAAAAGTTGTTTGGTTTCGAGGGGAGCATAAGATGGTGTCATTAATTTGACCTTGAATAGTTGCTTGAAGGTCACATAAAGGTCAACTTCAATTTTTTAAATAGAACCTATTGTTTATTGTACTATCTTATTCTACTAATTAATATAAACAACTTCCCAGGTAGAACAGAAAAGTCGTAATGATATCATTAGGATGTCATCATGACATTATTTGTCACTTAAAAGTCACTAATAAAAAAATGATGCAAAAATGATATAAAAATGAAAAAGGAATCGTACACTATATTATAGATAAAAGCGTCCTTTGGTTTTTAAAATATTTATATCGTTTTAATATACATGTTGTTGAAGTAAAATATTGTTTATTAGTAACTTTTAAGAAACAAATGTCATGATGACATCCTAATGATATCATTATGACTTTTCTGCTCACAAAATGCTCCTAAAAAGTGTATCGAATGACATCATCATGATTTTTCCTAAATCAAAAAAATGAGTTCTACTTGATGTCATTATGATATTATTATGATTTTGTGTTCTACCTGGGTTTTGTCTGAAACATTTTCTATTTACCTAATGCTTTTTGAGATAGTTAAGAGACAATTTATAAGTTTTTCAATGTTTAGCTTATGATATCTCGATAACTGTTTATCGGAGGGAAAAATAGTACAAAACTTTTTGACTTAATTTGGTCTCAGAAATATGCTATTACAATAGTGTTCCAATTATTGAAAATTTTTGTGTATTGCGTAACATACACAAAATTACATACACAAAAAATACAATATATAAATGATTAAAACAATTATATTTCAAAGTAGCGTGTCGAAAATTACGGTCACGGTCCGATTCACGCTCCTAACACTATAAGTATTAATCTGTCTTCGTTGTACATCAAATGTCAAACGAAGACAGAACGATGCTTACAGCGCAATGAGCGTGAATCAGACCGCGGCCTACTACATTTCTAAAGGCTGGTTTATGCAAAGCCGTAACCGTTAACTTATGCCAAATTCGGTAAAAATTGAACAATTACAGTCAATTGTTCTCTTCACTTTTAACGGTGATTGGACAATTTTTACCGATTCCGGCATAAGTTAACAGTTAGTCCCAGTCTACAATAGATGATTTAAGCCCTAAGCTTTAAGAAATTGGCCAATCACGGTCAAGTGTGAGCAGAATGCGCGACTGTGATTAGTCAATTTCTTAAGGCTTAGGGCTTAAATTTCTATTGTAGACTGGGACTTACGGCCTTGCATAAACCAACCTTAACTGTCGTGACTTCGCGGCTATTTGATGCTAAAACAAATGAAGCGCGACACACGCCGAGAACAATCAGTCAGCGTAGCGAGCTTCACGAGTAACGTTCGGTTCTGTGGTGCTTGGCTATTCCGTGCATTACGGATTTCTCTTACGGATCTCCGTTTCAAAGTTATTCTTTTTAGCGATCTGTAAGATCAGTGTTTTGCAATACGTGTTACCGTTTCTTTTATCCGATACGATCATCTGTAAATATTTCCATGTGTACGCGGACGTGTATACTTTTATCGTGTCGGTTCCTTTATACGTTTTTCACGTGTTGTATTTCTTTTCTTATTTCTATTTCTTTCTTATTTTAAGTTTCTTATTTTTTACGTATTAGTATAGTTTCTTTTCACATCGCATTATAATAAATGAACACTATGTCGAGTCAATGCCCTATAGATAGCTATTTTGATAAGTGCGTGTATAAAGAGTGCAAAAATGACAAATTTTCGTATGGAAAACGATTATTCCGATTCCCAATGCAGAAGGATGCAAGATACAATATATGGATACGCAATACAGGTAGGTTTCTGCTCAGTAAACACAGAACATTGTAGCAACATTACAGCAATATTACAACATTGCCGCAACGTTGCTGCAATGTTCTGTGTTTGCTAGGTGTGTAATAGTTATGTAATTATTTCATATATATCGATTCGATATGGTAACAAGGAAAGATCCGAGTATGTGTTAACATACAGGGTGTGATTGAAAAGTAACCGAACTTTTGCCGCCGCGCGGCTTCCAGGCGTCCAAAAAAAATGAGTGAAGGAGGAAAATGTGCGTCCGACCTTGCTCTTT